CTTTTACTTTCTTTACGCCTTTAAGTTTAGTTGTATCCCAATGACTCACTTCCCATGAACATTCACTTTAGGATAGAAATTGATGCGAATGAACTAGTAGGTGCATTTAAACACAAAAAAAATAATTCTGCAATGAGTAGCTATATAACAGAACTATTTTTTTATTTAGCCTATATTGTCTCACTACTTGAAAAAGGGCTCCCGTTAATTCAGAAGCTTTTTTTTATATCTATTTTTTACATCTTGAATATTTTTCTTATGAATGTATGTGGTTTAATGTATGTATTATATTGTCTTGAACACTTAATGCGTTTGCGGTTTTATAACATGTAAAAAACATATGTTTCCTTACGAATGATATATTACAATGTATGTATCATTCAAGAACAAATTATATAAACATTTATATTCATATAACATAATTTCTAATTTTCTCGTATTCACCTAATCTCAGATATCATTCACCTATTCCACTTATGTAAATGTTAGTGCATTGTCTTTAAATGTCATGATTTAAAATAGTACGTTAATTTGATATTCATATCTTATAAATATATTAGGAACTAATCAAGTCATTCTTATCAGAATTTAGATCTGATTACTCATATTTATGACTGTCAAGATTCGAACAGAGCACATAAATAAATCTGAAGGCTTTCTCTCAAAGCGTTTAAAAATCCAATCATTGTTTTCTGAACTATATAAATTTAAATTGTTGATAAACAAGAATTGTTCATTTAGATAGCAAATTGAGTTCATGCTTTTATTAACGTTTGTTGATATATAAAAGCGGTGGCTTATTTTTATGCATCTTTCGTAATTAAAAATGCAACAAGTTGTAGTTAAGACCTTAGTAATAAGAATTTAATACAAAAACAGTTGAGGCAGAAAGGGAAGTGGTTTTCATTGTTGCTACTTTCTGTTTAACTAACAAAAATTCTTCTAATTCTTCCAACAAAGATTCTTCAAACTCGGCTGTTTATTTTCCTGTGGGCGTACTTAGCATACTGGACGCTGTTATCAAATCCCTTGTCACAGAATAAAGCTTACGACAAGAGGGTAATTTGCTCACTTTACAAAGATGGCCATACTGCATTTTATGCACTTTACCGGTTTTTACAAAACTTTACGAAAACGATCTTTACTTGTGAAGTCCCTCCATTGCTCTTTACGGCTGCCAACATCGAAGTCCCGATCACCAAATTCGGAATTCCACAATGAAAACGACCGCTATTGCGGTTGGTTCACCGAGGAATCGCGTCATACTCAAAAATTAATATAAACAAAAGTGTAAATATTCTTTGTTTATTTCTTGGTAAAATATCTAGGCGGGACCAACATCAATCGAAAGAACAATTTGTTTATTATAAACAAACTCCAAAGTGTTTAGATTATCAATCTTATAGCGGCTTCCCACGGTCGGCGATATTACGGACGTAAGCGGACCAGCACGCACCACGCACCGTGGGGAGGGTCTCGTCCGTGGTAGCACAGGCACGTCTGTGCTGGTCCGTCCTATCCATCTAGAGTCGGTAACATCAAAGGTGCGGTAAATGCTCGTGCGACGCGATCCTAGCGCGTCTGTGTTTTAACAGACGACAAGTGCAAGTCAGAAGTTTTTCGTTCGCTGACACGAGTAGTTGTCTGTAGTGTTGTCAAAGTTGTTTTGCAGTTTTTTGCTAAAAAATGGAATGGACAAACGAAGTTATTTTTGATTTTTTAAATTTGTATCAAAATGAAACAAATTTATGGAATTCTACGGCACCAGAGCATAAGAAACGGAACCGATATATACGATGTATGGAACCGAATAAAAAATCAATTGAAGAATAGTACTATTTCGATTAAAGAATTAAAAAAGAAGAGAAATAATTTAATGCCGAATTTAATGTTTACAAGCCTGAGTGGCCTTTTTATGATATAATCAAACAATACTGTCACGGACCTACACAGACTGTCACGGACCGTAGGAAGAGCTCTGTCTGCGGTGCGTTCTCGTCCGTGCTGATCGGCTGTCCGCGATGATCTGTAGAATCGCCGATCGTGGGAAGCCACTATTAGAGGCGCAAAAATATTAAGAATATTTTTCGGTGTTCTATCATATACGGGGTGAAACGAAAGTGCTATAAAATAATGAAAAATGGAGCATAAGCCTTCTAGTTAGATTTCGTTTCGATTAGGTCGTCAATCATCACATGGCAGTTTAAATGTCTACTGCTTCTTCAATGTACGTTTTAAATCGTATTTTGAAGTAGTCTTAATGTCCGATTTTACTTCTGATTCCTCTTTATATAATGTTTATCCCTTAAATTATTGATTTTTAGAAATTTTCTGAAACAAATGTTGATGGATTGCAATGTCAGGAAAAACGAAAAAAAAAATTGCTATTTATAACCAATGTTCATTTTCTCGGAAAATGGATATGTTGCCTAATGAACTAATGATATGTACAAAATTATTCCAATGTACTGTATAATATCTACGGAATTAAAAGAATCTCTTCAATTTGGATAAATTTGGATCAATTTGAACTACGTAAAGATTTTCCTCACCAGTGATTTTTGTAACATTTCTTTAGTGATGAAATAAGTGAAAAATTGGTAATATATTTCTAATGCTAACAGCTCTTTATTCAGATTTGTATCACCATGAAACTCTAATTGTTTTTCATCCAGGTGCAGGCCCTTCTTTTTCAAAACGATCCTTGGCCTTGGAACTTTTTTCATTACCATCTTCAAGTGATTTGAATTTGATTTGGAAATGGAAGGCAAAGGTACAAAATATTTTAGTGGCTATAGTTGCGACTACCTTATACACCATCTTCATTCTCAACTTCTATTTCTGAATTATCGCTATAATCAGGACAAAATGGGGTGAGGGAGATGTTTGCAATGCTATATGTGTCTAAGAGATCAACATCTTCATTACTTTTCAGACCAGTGAAATTCTCACATTATTCTTTTAATTCTTTTTGTGATAAACGACGACTCAGTCTGAAAGGACGTACTTCTTCTTAACGTGTCATCTTCTCTAAGAAGGTTGGCAACCATCATGGCAATTCATCAAGCTCTTAAATTATTCAACCAGGAGATGTGTCTTCTTCCCGACTCCTACCCTGTATTCTTCCTTGTATTATTAATTGCAACAAGTTATAACGCTAGCCCCTCATAACATGTCCCAGATATTGCAGTTTTCTACAAAGAACGTACATATATGTATAAAAATGTGGCCGAATACATCATCATCAGTGGCATTACATCTCATTATGAGCCAAACCCTTCTTCAGAACAATCCTCCATTCGCCCCTGTCTCTGGCAACTCTTCTCCATGGTCTAATTCCGATAGACTTCAAATAATTTTCTAGGTTGTCTTGGTACCTAAGTCTCGGTCTTCTTCTTCTTCGTTGTCCGATTGGCCCTCTTCGATCAAAAACTTTTCTGACTATGCCATCTTCCTCTCGTCTGGTTATATGACCTATCCATCTGAGGCGTGCTACCTTAATGAATTTTACAACGTCAGGTTCTCCAAATCTTCTATACAACTCAAAATTGTAATACCTGCGACACAAATCTTGTTCTTTTATGTCTCCATATATTCGTCTTAGTATTTCTCGCTCAAAACGTTTGAGCAATTCTTGGTCATTCTGTGTTAGTGTCCAAGTTTCTGAACCATATGTTAGCACTGGTCTTATTAGTCAGTTTAATTTTTCTAGACATTTTTGAGGCCATCTGTCTTCTTAAGCCATAGTAACACTTATTGGCGAGCACTATTCTTCTTTTGATTTCTTCACTGACGTTGTTATCTTTGGTTAGCAGCGACCCTATGTATGTGAAGGTGTCAACACCTTTCAGTTCTAGGTCATCAATTATTATTCGTGTAGGTGTCGGGTTGCTTGACCTAGTGCAACACATATATTTGGTCTTTTGAACAGTTATATTTAGTCCCATTCTGTGTGCAGATGCTCTTAACGACCGAAATACTTCAGTTAGAGATTCTGTGAACCTACCTATGATGTATATGTCATCTGCGTATCCGACAATTTGTACTGATTTGTTAAAGATAGTACCATCCGTAGGAATCTGCGACTCTCGAATTATTTTTTCTAATGCCAGGTTAAATCAGAGACACGATAGTCCATCTCCCTGTCTGAGTCCATTTTTGCAATGGAAGGGTCTTGAGAGATCGTTTTGGATTTTTACCATGCTCTCTGCAACTGTGAGTGTAAGTTCAGTTAACCGGACAAGATTAAACGGAATGCGAAATTCTACCTTAGCAAGAAGAAATCTATTTCTATTAACGGAGTCATATGCGGCTTTGAAGTCAACAAATATGTGGTGGGTGTCGACGCCGAACTCTAGGGTTTTTTCAAGGATCTGCCTCACTGTAAATATCTGGACCGTTGTTGATTTATATTGATTTTTAATACATATACTTGGCCGAATATACAGTGTTGCCGAAAAGTAACAAAGCACATGATGAAAAAAAATTAAAATCGAAAGTTCACATCTTACCTTCTATTTAGTGTCTTTGCACTCAAAAATTCTAAATAAATTTACCAACTTCATCAACAATTAACAAGGCAGTAAGTAAGGTTAGTTTTTAATATAAACACGTGAAACACTGCTCACGAAATAAAAACAGGCGAACTAAGTAAATAGAGCGCATCAAATGGCATCCATGTCTTTCGACAACATCATTCGGCTGCAAATAAACGCCGCCGTACGGGCTTTATATTAATTAAAATATCTGTTATCTAACGGCAACATGATGCATTTTAGAGTTAAGTCTGCTTTTTTATCTAAACTGTCTAATTAGTTATTGTGTGAGTACCAAAAAGAGTCTCAATTGCAATGGAATTTTTTCTAATCTAGTTCTTATATACCTTCTTTATTGTTTGATTAAAATTAAATATTCTTAAACATTTTTTTTCTATTTTGATTACATTGATTACCGCTTTTGGCTATTATCCAAATATGTACATGTTATATATTGTTTTTCAGCTGTTAGTTTCTGGTCAGCCGACAACCAACTCAGGTTCTTCCCCAGTCTCAGGTGGTGGATCCCTTAGCCCTGGCGGATCAGCTGGTATTCCGGGTGCATTATCCCCAGGTGGAACCTCTTCCACGGGTCCAACACAATGCTGCGAATCCGGGCGACCTCTAGTAACAGATCCAGTAACAGGTCAGAGCGTATGCTCCTGCCAGTATGATTCTGCTCGGTTAGCGGCGCTACAGTATAGAAACGCTAGTGTAGGCGTCTATGGGACGCCGTATCCTTCTACCGACCAAAACCCTTATCCTAGTATAGGCGTGGAAAGTTCTGCGTTTTATTCACCTTTGGTAAGTTAACTTAAGTTTTATTTTTTAAAATGGTTTATTTACTATTACCTAACATACTATAGCATATGGTAACGATATCATTCGTTGAAGGTTGTTAACAAGTAAGTCAGTCATGAACATTTAACACCATAGTGTTTCTCCTTCAGAGAATAAGAGCCTTTTTAAGTTCAGCTGAAGCAAATTAAAATTGACGCCATTTTGACAGACCAACTGCTAAATTGTTATGGATTAACTGACAACATTTTTTAATATTTTTACCTAATCTTCTTATAAATTTAGTATGTAATTCAATTTGGAAATAAGTTATTATACTGACAGTCTTGTGTTCCTTTAAATACAGTTAATTATATATAGCGAGACGGAGAAATCGGACAAGTACTTTTTCTTTATTATAATTGGGTTTAAACTTTAACGGAAAATTTATAATTTATAAATAGGCTGTATACGTACGGCAATGGTTTATGTCCTTGAGGATGATCTTTATGTACTGTTTAAAGATTTGCAATTATAATAAGGTGCCAATTGCAATCAACTAGACTAAAGAATATAAATATTTCAATTCAATTCATTATTTTAAAAACTATTATTATCTTATCTTATTGTTAGTGTAAACAGACCTTGGAGACATATATTTAAACGTTTTATTTTCAATCAACAACTAATTTAGAACAAATTGCTGACAGACCTTATGTGAGGCCGTAAGCCGCGAATTATCCCAATTTTAAAGATACTATAAGTTTGTAATAAAAGTGAAAATTGATATCTGATGAACAGCAGACCAAGTGAGAAAAATAACTGCATGTTGCATTAAGAGACAGGTGTGGAGAAATTCTTCTTCTGCTTCTTCGTCTAGCCATTCACGTCCACATCTGAACATAAGCCTCTTCAAGTCTTTCTTTCCATTGTTTTTTATTGTACGCTACTTGTAGCCAATTTTTCCCGGCAGTCCTTTTCAGATCATCTGTCCAACTCATAGGAGGTCTGCCTCTGGGTCTTTTGTGTTGGTATGGTCTCCAGGTTAAAATTGATCTGTGCCATTTGTTTAGATCGCTCCTAGCTGCATGTCCAGCATATTCCCATTTCAACTTTATTGATTTTTGCACCACATCGGTGACTTTAGTTTTCTCTCTTATCTATGTGTTTGTTTTCTTGTCCTTAAGTGATATATCTAGCATTGCTCTTTCCATCGCGTGTTGAGTGACTCTAAGTATATTAATATTCTTTTTTGTGATTGTCCATGTTTGTGCTGCATAAGTTAATATCGGAATAATGCATGCATTAAAAACGTTAGATCTAAGATGTAATTGAATGTGTTGATTTCTGAGTATATAGTTCAGTTTACCGAATGCTGCCCAAGCTAACTTTCTTCTTCTTTTTATTTCTTCAGTTTGAATTTCGCTATTTAGTATAATTTTTTGTCCTAAGTATATATATTTTTCAACTTTTTCTATAACTTAATCGTTTATTATTATCACGGTGTCTTCGGAGTGCATGACTTTTGTTTTGTTTAAATTCATTTTCAGTCCTATTTTAGAAAATTCGGTATGTAGTTCTAAAAGCATGGTTTGCATTTCTTGTAGGTTAGTAGCTATCAGGATTATGTCATCTGCAAATCGTAGATTACTCAGGTAGCGGCCATTGATGTTTATTCCCTTATATTTCCAATTTAGGTTTTTAAAAACGTCCTCCAAAACTAAGGTGAACAGTTTGGGTGATAAAGTATCTCCCTGTTTGACTCCCCTGTTTAATGGTACAGGGTTCGTGTGTTCATTTTCATTTAGGTAGTATGTAGCTGTAGCTTGGTTCATAGTTTCTTTTATTAAGTTAATATATCTGCTGTCTATTCTACAATTTTGCATTGCGTTTATTACGGCCGTGTGTTCTATGGTATCGAAAGCTTTTTCGTAGTCTACAAATGCTAGGAAAACTGGAAACTTGTATTCGTTACATTTTTCTATTAATATTTTTGTGGTTAACAGGTGATCGGAAGTTAAATAGCCTTTTCTAAAACCTGTCTGTTCATATGGTTGGTATTCGTCTAATTTCTCTAATGGCTCATCCATGTCTAATTTCCTTGTTAGTTGAGTAGTTTTGACTTTGGTGAGTATTTTCAACAGGTGTGACAGTAGGCTGATGGGTCTGTAGTTTTCCAATTTTCGACTATCACCTTTCTTGTGTAATAAGATTACTTTAGAGTTGTTCCAGCTCTTAGAGACTTTGCCCTGATGTAAACAACTGTCCACAAGCTTAGTTAGAATTGCAATTAGTTCCTTACCTCCTTCTAATATCATATTTGTGGTAATACTATCTTCTCCTGCAGCTTTATTTCTCTTCATGTTTTCCAATGCTGTAGTTACCTCTGAAATTGTTACTTTTGGCATTATTTCTGATCCAACATTTTTTATTAATTTCCGTGCTGGTCTCATCTCATCATCTTGTTGATGTGTTCTGTAAAGTTCTGTGTAAAATTCTTCTATTCGTGTTAATATGTTTTCTCTAGTTGTGATTTCATTTTCGTCTTTTACCATTAATGATATCATCTGACGTCGTCCTAGTGTCGGTCTGAGGCATTTCATACTCTTATTTTTTTCAATAGTTGTTGTTATTAATTTTTCGTTTTCTTTTCTTTTTTGTTGTCTGATTCCTTTTCTAATCTGCCTATTAAGTTCTCTATATTCGTCGGTTCTCTTTTTGTTAGATTTATTTAAGATCTTTCTTCTTTTTATTTGTTGTAATATTTCTTTGTCTAATTCATTGTATGTTGTTTTTGGTTTTTTCAGTTGCAGAAGGCTTTTATTTACTGTTTCGGTAATAAGGTTATTCAAATCATCAATATCATTGGAGTTTATCTGCTGCATGCTAACTTGATTTAATGCATGCGCTATCTTTTTATTAAATTCACTATTTTTGATTTCTTCAGATGTCCATTTGTATCTTTTTTCATGTATTCTTTTTCTTTCTAGTTTTTTGTTAATTGTTAGTTTTGTTCTTATTAATCTATGATCGCTTCCTAGGTCAAACTGATTTAATACTGATACGTCTTCCTAGATTCTTCGTTAAGATATAATCTATTTCATTCTTTGTCTTTTTATCGGGGCTCATCCATGCTTTTTATTGAAAAAGGAGTTCATTGAGTACATGTTATGTTCATTCATGAAATTGAGAAGCATTTCTCCTCTATCGTTTCTTTTCCCGTAGCCATAGTTACCAATTAAATGTTCATAATCTTCCTCTTTTTTGCCCAATTTAGCATTAAAATCTCCTAATAGTAGGTGTGGAGAAATAAGCATCGAGAATCAAAGCAAAAAAAGAGTTTATGAAACCTGTGTTTGGCCAATACAATATGTCTTCTGTCTCCGGCTTCCGTGCACAATGTAGCTTCTCCTATTTTAAAAATTTTAATGTGTTTGTCCTTATGTAGTGTAGTGTGATGTACCATTTTATGTTTATAACATTTTATTCTTATATAAGCCACAATTGACGAAATGCCCCGGAAGATGCTCTAGGGAGCGAAAGTACTTGGGCAAGATTAAATTAATTAAACTGTTCTCGATATTTGCCTTTTATTTGATCAAAGTTCACTACATATGTATTGGCCAATACTCGTTAGAAACAAGAGCTTAAAGAAAACAAAATAGGCTCTAAGAACAGCTAAGATGAAAAACCATAGTAGGAAAACTAGACGAAATCGAGTATATCGAGTATCCTCATGGCATATTCACCATAAATGTTGAATAAGTCAGGTGACAACACACATCCTTGTCTAACACTTCTCTCGGTCTTGAATTGGTTTGAGAAGGGTACCTATTATATACCCTATTATAAAAATATTTCTTTTTTTATCGACAGAAGAACAGGAGTGGAGGCTGGGAATTAAAAACAACCGTATGAATAAAAGATAAAACTTTCTTTAGACTGCGTTTAAACGAATTGACAAAAAGTAATTAAATCTACCACATACTTGGGTTTTTTACTGTACTAAATAAACTATTAAATTAACATTAGCGGTCATTGCGACAACAAAATAAGGAATGAGATCAAATAGGGGTTTCGCTTTTTTATTAGGGACTAATTAGAAATTTGCATCGTAATATAGACACTTTTATTAGGTACTTAGGGAAAAAGTGATTATTTTCGTGGGAAGTGTTCCATCATTTCAACATAATTGCACCCAGACAAATTTAATGGCATGAGAACTGAAGTACTGCGTGGCTTGGTCTTCTTCTTCTCGTGCCATTCCTAGCGAAGATTGGAAATCATCATGGCCACTGCGACTTTGTTAGCAGCGCGCCTGAAAAGTTCAATCGAACTACACCGAACCATTCACGTAGATTACGAAGCCACGATATTTTTCTTCTTCCCACACTTCTTTTGCCCTTAATTTTGCCCTGCATGATGTTTCTTAAAAGTTCGTACTTTTCACCTCTTACAATGTGCCCCAAGTATTCCATCTTTCTAGTTTTTATCTCATTAGAATTTCGCATCTTTTGTCTAAAGTTTGGAGTACTTGTGTGTTAGTGACGCGGTCCATCCATGATATTCTGAGAATGCGCCTATAGCACCACATCTCGAAAGCTTCGATGTTTTTTATGGTCAACTGTTTTAGTGTCCAAGCCTCAACTCCATATAACAGGGTAGAAAAGACATAACACCGCAGCATTCGTATTCGTCGTAACTTTATATTGATATCACGATTGCAAAGAGTTTGCGCATTCTATTAAAGACTGATCTAGCGATTTCTATTCTACATCTAATCTCTTTTGTTTGATCAGTATCGTCTGTGATCCAAGCACCTAGATATTTATAACAGGGCACACGCTCAATCGTTGTATTGTCTATTACAAGATTACTAAGATTAGCTAAGTGGCTTGGTACAGTACTGTCAAAAGTTTTAAGTTTAGGAAAATACACGCTACGCAGAAAAAGAAAAAAGGGAAGAAAATTTGTGCCATGAAATTTTACTGTGTTTGCCATATAAGACTTGCGTAGAAAAAATTGCT